GATGTACTTCAAAGTTTTATTGCGTAAATCTGTGAATATACTTCAAATTTGCTCTAGAGAAATATCTTGTTTTCTTAATTACATGTTGGTTTTAAATAGTTTTCAAGTGCTATTTTCATTTTTCTTAGAACATTTTTGTGAACTATCTGATAATCTTTTAATCATTGAATCTCAGCTCGGAAAGCAAATGGTATCCTGGGCTCCATCAGCCAGCAGGGACAGGGAGGTGATTGTCCCTCTCTACTCGGCCCTCATGAGGCCCCATCTGGAGTACTGTGTCCAGGTCTGGAACCCCCAGAACAAGAAAGAGAGCTGTTGGAGAGGGTCCAGAGGAGAGCCATGAAGATGATCAGGGGACTGGAGCACCTCCCCCTACAAAGACAGGCTGAGGGAGCTGGGCTTGTTCAGCCTGGAGAAGAGAAGGCTGCAGGGTGACCTGATTGTAGCCTTTCAGTACCTAAAGGGAGCCTACAAACAGGAGGGGAATCAACTGTTTGAAAGGGTTGATAACAGCAGGACAAGGGGACATGGTTTTGAGTTGAGGGAGGGAAGATTTAGGTTGGATGTCAGGGGGAAATTCTTTACAGAAATTGGAGAGGCACTGGAACAGGCTGCCCAGAGAGATTGTGGATGCCCTGTCCCTGGAGGTATTCAGGGCCAGATTGGATGGGGCCCAGGCAGCATGGTCTAATATTAAATGTGGAGGTTGGTGGCCCTGCCTGTGGAAGGGGTTTGGAGTTAATGATCCTTGAGGTCCCTTCCAACCCTGTGATTCTGTGATTCTGTGAATGAAGAAATTTAATTACCCTACATGAGAAAAAAGAAAAGCCACAACATAATAACCTAACTACTAATGTAAAAATCAGCATGAAGTGTAAGTCTCCTACAGCGGCACAGATTGTTATCTAGTTTGTAGCAAGAGAACTGAATGATTGAAGTGTTTAGGAAAGTCTACAAATCTAGCAAGGATGCCAGTTTAAAATTATGTTTTATATCTGTTTTTATTATTAAGTCTGTGTAATGTCAGTGGCATGTACAGATTTGCTTAAATCCTGTCAAGAAGTTTTCTTGACTTCTGATACCATAAGAGAAATTGTGCATGTTTCAGAAAACTACAAAACCCAAATTTTGGTTGTTTTGAAATTATGTAGCATAAAGCATGTTAAGTATGATTATTTATGGGATATGGAGTACAGAGTATAGCTCCACTGTATCAAAGTGTGCATCCTGAATATTTCATTTTTGTGAATTTTCATTTTCTTCTCCTGTTTCAGTTTTTATTTTTTCTCATTTAAACTGTCCTTAAGTAATACCCAGCATGCATATTCAGACTCTTCCTTGCTAAAGTAAATGCTTTTCCCTCTTCTTTCTCTGCTTGCTAAAGAGAAGATGACAAAAGCTTCACTGTAAGCCAGCTGTGATTTTAATAGTAATCTTAAGCATGTTTTCAAAGTCAACTGACATTAGAGAATTAACCACATTTTAGCCTGCGACGTCTGTAATGTGTGCCTAAAAGCTTCCAAAGTTCAGAGACAATTCACTAGGAATTTCCACTGTCACATATTGAAGTCCATTATTAGCGGAGCTTGCTTTTTCAAACAAATGCTTTGAAGCTCTAAACATCACTTGTAAGATTATTCTGTTTAAGTTGGCTAAATTAACCAGTAAGTTTGTTCTGAAACTGTTATTTTTCACTGTAGGAAACTGTATAATCCAGTAATAAGCTCAACACTGGAAAATCATTTTGTAAAAAAATGTATTTGGTTGTTCACTAGTAATAAATATGACTTAAATCTTGCCTTGGTTATTAGAGCCAATAGTGGCTCTTTGAGAACTTAGAAGTTCCAGAGTAATAGTAACTGACCAATAGTTTAAGATGTGAAGAAATTAACAATTTCGATAGTTCTAATAAAAAAAAGAGTAGATTATAAATTCACTGAAGAGTAACTGTATATATTGTATTTTATTGTTCTTATATCTTATGTTACTTTGCAGTAAATGTTTTGTTTGCGTAGCCAATACCTAAGGTCTTAATTACAGAAATCGACATAATCATAGAATCACAGAATGGCTTGGTTGGTAGGGAACTGAAAGTTCACCCAGTTCAAACAAACACTCCTGTGGGAACAGTTGCCTCCAGCTCAGGGGTATCCAGGACCCTGTGCAACCTGCTCCTGAACACCTCAAGGGATGAGGCATCCACAGCTTCTCTAGGCAGCCTGTGCCAGTGCCTCAGTACCCACCTCCTAACATTTAACCTAAATCTACCCTTTCCATTTATATCCATTCCTCCTTGTGCTATCACTATCAGACCATATTAAAAATTCAGACACCTTCCTCTGTATAAACATCCTTCAAGTACTGGAATGCTGCAATGAGGTTGCAGCCTTAAACAAGGACTGTATTTTTCTGATCTACCAGTCTGAAGGCATATAAGTTCTTGGTTTTCATAAAGTGGAAGGTAAAATTCAGTTGTAGTTTGTGAAATGGAAGGTGTTTGATGCAACACTGTTGAGTGTTTACACTATTTAATTCTACTTGTAGGAATGAAGCTTAAAACTTTTATAGCAAGATCTATCTTCTGTTTAGGAAATGATCTGAAATTTTGAAGAGTGGCATTCAGTACAGTACTCTCAGATCACGTTCTCATTTGTTTGTTATAATTCTTCTATTTTGTATTTGAAAACTGACATAATTTAAATTGTTCCTAATTTAAGTGTGAAAAAAATAAACCCTTTTGTACTTTTTAAAATCAGTCTCTTCCTTTCTGGATTACTGACTTGAATCTCCTCTGTTGTTTCAAGATATCGTTGGAAACCATGTCTCAAAACCAAAGTTTTAGATTAGATTACACCATCATGCTGGCATCTGTTACTCCTTAAAGGAATATTTTAGGATAGAAGAATCTATCCGAAAGAAAATAAATTACACAAATGCTGAAGTTTATGTCACAGTGAGATGAAGGTTGTCTTGGCAGTAACTCAAGCTAGCTGAGTAGAAATTTTCTTAAAGTGAGAATGAAGTTTATTTCCAATAAGGAAGGTTATTTAGTGTTTTGTTGTTTTGTTTTTCCTCACCTTTCCTAATTATACAATGTGCATACATCTCAGAATTAAAAAAAAAAAAAATTACACTTTGTGATTTGATAGCTCTAGGATACACATGCATGTTCTGTGTTATTTAAACTAGTATTTTCTTCATTCTATGCTACTTGAGTGAGGCATTTCATTGTTAGTACGGTGTACCCATGGCATTTTTTCATTCATTTTCATTTGAATTTATCCTCTAATATTTTTGGAGCTTGAATATATAAATACCAGTGTAATGGTCTTTATGCTTCAGATCAACAAGCTGGTCCTAAGTTTGTCAGGCTTCATTTGAAGTTCAAGTCCATCATATAGTGACCTGGTCCTCTTTTTCCAGCCCTGTTAGAAAAGATTTGGAGGAGCTGTGGGATACTGATGAAGAAGTACGAAATAATAATTAAATGTCTTCTTGCATTTTAAAAGGGCATTTTACATTTCAAAAGGGATTCTTTCCACCAACAACTCTCTTTTCCAGATGCTCTCTTTTCCTTTCTAGTTAGCTGTGTTTGTTCTTGCAAATAGGAAATATTTTTGATCAGAGAAATTCTGCTATAAAAATACACAAACATACAGCTTCAAGGGAATTCATCCTATTTGTATGAAGATTATATTTGAGCTATGCTAGATTTAAATCTTAGCCAAAAAACGTGTGTGACTAAGGATCACATTTTTAATTGCAACATAAGTGTATTTAAGCATCACAGTGTTTATGGTCAGTTTGAAACTGGCATTTACAGAAATTTTAATAATGAGTGTCACAGATCTTTTGCTTGTTGTATCTGAACAATTATATTTACCATCGAGTAGCTGAGATTCTTTTCAAAGGACCCTTTTAGGTAAATGTTACCTGAAAAGTTGCTTTCTGTAAGAAATCTGGTGATTTAGTAGCTCAAGTTATTTATCTAGGGACTAAATATTAGTGAAACAAAACACTGTGTTGCTTCTACACAAGTTTGATAGGATACACATACTTAGGCAAAAAGTCATGTTTTTTTTATTACTAGAAAAGACTGAGATAATAGAGAGAAAGATGAATCTGAGCCATTATAATTTTTAGTTCAGTATTGTACTTTGCTAATTTTTTAGTTTATCCAGTATTTCACTGCACATGTTTTTACAGCAGCTTTTGTCTCATTCATTTCATTTTTTTTCATTCTGGTCTTCATTACACTCAATGTATCAAATGGAAAAAAAGCAGTTCTATATGATATTGTATATATTTGTTGAAGATGATTTGCTAGTTATTCTTTTAAGTATATGCAATGCAACTTATAAATTAAGATAACTCAGAAATAAGAGATTTTATTTGTAGATTTATGTAAACAAATATATTTAAAAGGATGATCACATACTGTAAATTTACTTCCTTTTTTATGACATGTTATAAACTTTTTTGAAAACATCAAATGAAGTAAGAGAGAATTTTATATTAAGGTCAGGATTTTGCCCCTGTGTAGTCATCAGCAGTCATCCAAATATCACAGATTGGAATTGTAGCTTCTTCAGCTTATAAAACAGAAAAACTGACAATTTCTCAATAGCTACAAAACATTAATACAGTGTACCAGTTCAGCTGCTCCAGGAAAAGTGTTCAGGAATAAAGATAAACTTCTTAATGAAATTTCAGCACGTTTTGTTTCTGTCTTAACATCAGAGTTTTTCCCTGCTTTCCCTGGCTCTGAGGTATAATATAATTGACATAAAAAATTTTGGGTTCATGTCTGCTTAGTACAGTGTTTTGTATTTCATTTCATAGAGCAGCAAATCATCTTACTTCCTCAGAAAGTAACACAGCTGAAACGTTTTATGGAAGTCTTCTGTTTGGTATTTCAGAAATAACAAACGTTCTTCAAAATGGTAATAAATCAAAAAGCCAACTGTAATTTGTTTAACCAAATGTATTTCCTTACTCAGAAGAGGAACCTGCACCAAATAGTGTTGTTGAAGAATACCGTCAGGAGAAGAGAAAATATGAAGACAAACGGAAGCAGCAGCCAAAGAAAGGAGTTTCCCGTGAAGATCAGGTAATCCTGGGCAATAAGGATTTCAGAGAGTTCTGAAAACTTTTTAATCTTCATTTGATAAAGAATAAAGTTTAGACATCTGTTACAGTTAATTTTCCATAAAAAAGTAAATTATTATTTCTAAACACTAATAAATGTGATTGTGCATGTGTGACAAGGTTTCAGTATGTATTTGAATGTGTTGTCAGTTAAGTCACTAAAATCTTCCAAAAGGAAAAGCTATCCACACAGAAGTATCCTTGATTATATTTACAACAGTTTGCATTTCTCTGCAGTTCTGTTCTTGGCTTTGCAACATCCCATAAAATAGCACTGAGACAGAAATTTGTGTATTTGGTATCTGTCCCAAATGTGAGGCTTTTTTCCACGTTTTAAATAATGTTTTATAGAGATCAAATTCAACCATATCTTTGAGTGTTATGAAATGAACAAAACTCATTTTTAACTGAACTTTAAAAGCTCATTTTAAGTACAGTTGAAATTATTTTCCATGGTCAGAATGTATGTAAGCTTCAGTATGCAAATATTAGCAAATTTAAGTTTAATGTAAATATTTTTTTCTAAAATAGGGATATTTGAACCTGCTGAATACATGAAACTACTGTGAAGTGCTAAATACCATTCATCTAAAATTTGTGCTGTGCATCAGACATATGGGTTTTAAAGTAATGAGAATACGTATTTTAGTAGATTATAATTTTTAGTTATGTAGCCCTTTTAAAAACTATTCAACAGTAATTAATCAGCTATTCAGCAAGGAGTCATCAACTCATTTCAACAATTAATAATGAAGTTCTTTAGAATTCAATTTATTTGTTGAGGGCCTCTTCTACCCTTACATCCTTCCGACTATATCCTACAATACAATATTATTTTCCAGCTCCTGAGTTCTGCTCAGGAGCTGGAGAGGGTAATGTGTATGTCTTTTTTGAATACCAGACAATGGAAATTGAATTGAACCTTGAATTCAATATGAGTCAGTTTTTAAAGATACATGGCCCACAGCATTGCATCCAATCATTCACAGCAGAAAGACTAAGACAGGTCCGTTTAGAATAATGCTGGCACCATAGAAAGTTAAACAGGACGTAAGAAATGTGGCTTTAGTTGATCACAGTTTCACGTGAAAAGGATTAATTTGTTTTTATCTATGTCCTGGACAGAGATTTGCTGCCCTAGGTGTTGTGAGCATGAAGTTTGTTTACAATTGCATGAGAAGCTGTAGAATTTGAATGATTCACAGGCACAAGTATATCTGAAAATTTCCTCTCCCAGCTTAAGCAAGATTAAACAGTAAAATAAAAAAAAATAAAAGCAAAAAAACAAAAAACAAACAAAAAAAAAAACCTAAAACCCACCTTTGGCAGTGCTAAAATGTGTTTTTGAAAGAATTCAAAAGCCAGGAAACTCCTAAAGTTAAGATTGCTCCCAGAAGGAAATTTGATTCCAGTGAACACTTCTGGTATTTCCAATTTCTGTTTTCTATTCTTGTTTAGTTTTTATTCTTTTAAATTTGAAAAACTTGACTAAACAAAACTAAACAGCCATACAGAGGTGTTTTACAACATAGGTGGCCAACCTATCACCTACAGATCAAATGCAGTCTGCCACATAAAATTCAGTTAATTACTTATTCCCTGACTCTTTCCCTTGCAGTAATGTCTCAAATAGCAGCAAGAATTAAGCTGCGGGCTGTGAAGATTTTTCTTATGGTTTGCCCTTTTTATGAAGAGCCCCATGACCTTTGTGCCATCACAGTGCTTAGGCATACAATTCTTGTGTAATCAACATTACCTCTCAAATGATCAGAAAGAAGACCTGCAGGATGATCTTCAGATGTTACTGCAGATTCAATGATTTTGTTATAGCTGAAAGACAGAGCAGTGTTATTTGTAAAAAAGAATACCAAATATAAATCAGTATTTTTATGGTGTATGTAATGTTAGGACCTGTGTCTGTCAAATTAGTTAAGATGGTTCTTAGTATTCAAGTAAAAAGCTTTGATTTTGTTACAGTCAGCAAAAAAATTTAAAGGACCAGCATTTAAAATAGAGGAGTATCAGTTAAGCTGTGTCTTCATTACTTGAATTGTCTATAATTTATGCAGTCGATTGCCTTAGTAGAAGAAATGAACAGATTCAAATAGTAAAATTTGTTGTCCAGTGGCCAGTATTATCTAATTTATTACTTATTTTATTCTGTAAGTATAGTGTAAGTATCTGTTCCCTAAATACGTGTTTTTATTTTACTAGACAGCTGGACAGGAACTCTCTTGCATGTGTACTCCCAGCATTGCACACCCTTTCACTTTCTCAACATGCTGTTACTCTTGGCACCCCTCACTCTCACTTGCTTGACACTGCAGTTTTCTTTGAAGTCATAGAAAAGTACTCTCCCATCTCATCACACTGTTTCCCAAAATAATAGTTTAAAGGTGTTGTATAATACTTGTTCATAAATATATCTGACTTCCTTAAAACTATGTATTTAACTTCAGACACTGGCACTGCTGGACCGATTTAAATCAAAGTTAACCCAAGCAATTGAAGAAACTCCTGAAAATGAGGTTTCTGAATTTGAAGTAGATACTGATGAAGGATGGTAAGTTTTATGGATTTTTATTTGTCTTTTTACTAATAGTCAGGATTGAAAGAGGAGAAGTAACAGTTTTCATTTTTCATTTGTTTTGCAAACCAGTCTCTTTGTTCGGTTTATTGAATCCTTGTTCTGTAAGACTTCTTTTACTGACACTTTACTTTTTACAGGTCAGTTAGTTGCTTGCTTCTTTTACTTATTTCTTCTGGATATCATTATTAGGAAACAAGGTGATATGCTTTCTGTGCCATTTATCTCCAGCAGGAAATAAGTTCTGAAAGGAGTTAGCAGCCTTTTGCCTTAAAATTTACTAATTTCATCACTTCTACATAAACTTCTCTACGTGTTTCTGAAACCCTACACTTCTAAGCTTAAAGTTAAAAGCAGCTGAAACACTAAAATTAAAAGAGAGTTGATGCAGCAGGTGTCTGCTAGGTTTAGTGCTTCGGAAAATAAAGCAGGACAGTGGGAAATGCTTTGCCACCCACACTGGGGGTTATATTTTAAAGACTGATGGATGAGATAAGGAAGATTCAACTAAGGGGTGGGGAGGGTGACCGCAATAAAGCAGTTGATGAAGCACTGCAGAAGTTTTGACCTCAACACTTTCCAGTCACAGAAGCAGCCTTACCATGTTTATTTAAGTCAGTGAAAGAATTCACCTTTAGGTAGGGAAGGAGAAAAATCACTGTGATTTGACTTGTGATCCTGTAATCTTACAGTGTGAGCTGCTAGACGATAATAACAATACGTGCATGAAATAGTTAGAAAAAAATGTTCAACTGGTCATAATTTTTATAAGACAAGTTTTAGGTCTAATAAAATATCTCTGCCTACAATGTTCCTTAGTTATACACGTAAACAGTCATGCTACAACAAAACCAGCTCTGAAAAAGAAAATTTAACTAAGACTTTGGCAGTTGTATTTCTATATCTCCGATAATTTTAAATAAGTATGTGAAAATATGTATGAAGTATAGCCTTCAGATCTTCATAAAAGCTTCTGTTTTGGAAGAAAACTAGTACAATAATCTATCTTCCTCAAATCCCTAGAATAGCACCAATAACTAAGCACAGAAAAGACTGAACTACAAAAAGGAGAATAAAAGGATGTTCTGTTTTTAAACTGAAAATGGATTACTTCGCTAAACATGATTAAAGTACCCTGTATCTCTTTGAGAAGACTCTTGTAAAACAGTAAGATAGCCATAACTTTAATTAAGGTTTTCTCTCAGATGATAAGACGGGTAATGTTATGAAGAAATGCAGACTGTTATATATTTTTTCTGTAATTCTACAGTTGAAAAAAGATATGTGAGGTAAGTAAGAAAAGAACATAAAAAATAGTGGGAAAGAAGATAATGTATGGAAGGCATTTGTAGTACAGCAGTTAGCATAAAGGTTCTTGCAATCATAAAACAACATATTCTCTTATGTAGATCATAATGAGAGCATTTATTTTTTCAGTGCTTCTTTGTGAGTATTATTTTAATCTGTTTTCGTTTTAACAGATAAAGGTGATGAAAGTGCATTTGAGTTACTATATAAGCTATTAAAATAATTTAAAACAATAGCAATTCAAACATGTCACAGCATATCATTTTACTTCTTATTTTACTGATTATATACTTTGTTTAGAATACTTTCATTTTACATAAGAACTGAGGATTTCTTTTTGCTTTAGAACCTAAGCAAACTAAGTTCAGATTCAATTTCTGAAGTTTTCTTTTCAGTTTTAATGTTAACTCCATTACCTGACATGAAGAAGTAACTATGCTTTCTTGAATTATATTATTCAAAAGATAAATTAGAGCAAAAGGATTTTTGCTTCAGATTCTCTTTGAAAGTAGAGAATTTCCTATATTAGGATAAATGTCATTACATGCTGCTTGCTATTATTTTAAGTTTTCTCTGGTTACCATCTATTTGGTAGATCTTTAAACCATACAGTCTTTCATCACTATGTCGTCTTCTGTCTCAGACATTATGCAGCTCTTTGAGGGTAAGGAAGAGCATACAGCGTAAATTTTTAGTCCCAAAGTTTTGTTGAATTCACTAGGACTTGGAGATTCTTCTGGGGTAGTGATGTGCTTTTAAGCTCTCCAGAAAATATGCAGCCATATCTTTATCTCCAGGTGTAGACTTTTAAGGGCTTACAGAGTCTTTCATGTTTCCTGTTGAGTATTTACTAATATCTAATTCGTGATAATTCTTCACCCAATATATAATCTATACAGTACGAAAAGACTGTTGCAATTTGAGATTATGAAATTGCTTATATTTTTGTTCCAAAAAAATGACATTGTTCTGAAAACAACATTGCACTGAAATAAAGACTTAGAATGATATAAAGCTAGGTAATAGTCTAATAATCAATGCTCATAATATTAATTTCACAGTTCAGTAAAGGTTCTTATTGCCTTTACAGAGAAATGAGTCTTGCTACAATTTCAAAGAATTTACTTCAAAGCGAAATAAATTATAAAATATTCATATTACATAAATTGGCTATAACCATATACAACATTAGAAAAGCAGTGAAGTTTTCTAAATATCATTCAACTTCAGACTGTTTAGATGGCTTTGAGAGTTGAATTTTGCATTTGGGGATAAAGGCTTGTTTTCATTGTCTTCATTGAATTGGATTATTTGAGATAACTATGGTGACTTCACTTTTAAAAATACTTTCTTAATTCCAATCTGCTCTTATAAAGACAGTCATTCTACTAAAAAAACAAACATTCTATTTTGCATTATTTATGATAAATGTAATTAGTGCATGGTATATGCATGTATGATATGCACAAATTATGTGATTCCTTCAACTCGTTTTGTAGGTCATGGCTGCTGTTTTTATGGGAAGTGAAAGCTAGCCAGTATGTGCTGCTCTACTGTCAGTGTGTGTTATCTGAGGTAGAACAATTGCCTCTATGACATTTTTATGTGTCCACATGAGTGGCCACACATTGAGGTATAATTTTCATTTTCTGTCAAGATAGAAACCATTACGAATTTGTTATGTTTTCTTTTATTTGGCAAACTTTTCTCTGCATATTTGGCTGAGCTGCTGTACTGGCATGAAGCATAGCAGACATTTGGGTACTTTTCAGCAGCATTCTACTTTTTATGCAGGAGAAAAAGAAGAAAGAAATATGACTCTTTTGTAAACAGTGTGTATGATGTTTGATAATTATTACCAGATTTTACTGTCTAAGAAGCCATCTGAGGAAGTGCTGTGAAAAGATCTGAAATGTGTAATATACATGAAATAGAAAGATCTCTGCTGAGACATTCAACTGCAAACTCTGCTGCTAAGTGAGAAAGACTGTATCTATCTGTCTGCAGCAAACAAAATCTAATTTCCCCCAGAAATCAAAACTGTCAGAATAAACAGAGTATGCACTACCAGAAACATAACAGTAAAAATGTCTGCAAACAAGTGGACAAGATGCATTTTTGTGGCATCTAGGTACCTCAGGAGGACATACTTGTTCATCCTGGTATTACTGTCTTATGGCTCCATATTGAAAACTATTGCTTATGATTTGTCAGACTTTAGTACTTATTGATCTTTACTTGCTATTTGGTTTCAATCTACCTAAGAAGAGATCAGGTATAGGACTTCCTTCTTCTCTTTCACATAGTTTGTGCAGAGTGCAGTCATTTGTTCTGGCCTGAAAGTCTTAACTGGATCTTCAAATGACAGACTTTTCCCCAAAATGTATATCGCATTCATCACAGATGCAGTGAGGTGTCATCTGCTTGGAGACTAAAAGTGTGAAGACTTAAAATGTGACCTAGCTGGAATAATTCATTTACATGTCACTTCTCTTCTGGACTAGTGAATATGCTTGAATTCTAAAGTGAAACTACTGCACAGATTTGTTTTCTACAGAGCACAGCTACTCAAGATTAGAAATGCTTTATATAAATCTTTGCATGTATATAATACATAGAAAAGTTGCAGTGCTACTTTATGCCTATGATTTTAATATCAAATAGTTACACCTATAGCTAAAAGCAAGCTTCAGTCAAAAAAAAATATTATCACAACTCCATATAGTGGAACTGATGATGCAGGTCCTATGAACATAACAAAATATCTTTCATGGAGAAGAGTCCGGCATGGGAGAAAAAAATTCAGATGCAGTCAAGTATTGCAGTTTGATAGGCAATTCAAAGATTGATTGCTATAGTTAATTTGTTTAAAAAATAAGAATGATGCTTACAACGCTGAAACACCCATGTTTCTTCATTTTCTCCATAATTCTTAAATTAAAAATACATGTAGTAAAAATATCCCAATCCAACTATGTTCTAAAGAAATGTTAGCAAGTTTGTAAGCTCATCTGTGTATTTTTGTAGTTGTCACTAATTTACAAATACTACACCAACAGACAGTGATACTTAATCCCTGACAGAAAGAGATTGGTGAATTCTGGACTCTTTTTGTTATCTGTTTAAAAGAAGGATGAGATTAGATCTTCTGTTGCTAAGAAGTGAAACATTTTCCCAGATAACATACGCTCTAACAAAGACCTGTTTATTCTTATTAGAAAATAATGTTGCTGCTCATTTGATAAGTTTTCATTTCTGAATCCACCATGAAAGCTGAATTCAAGCTGCACCAGAAAAGGGCCAGAGCAGGACCCCCGGATGTAACATAATTAAACCATCTCCGTAGTCTGAAAGGAATGCAGGACATGCAGTTTTCTTACTGTTTGTCAAATTTGTTCTTGAAGTCCAATGATAGAGATTCCAATCTCTATCTGTTTAACTATTCCTAGTGGTATTAAATATTTAGATGTAATATAGTCTTCCTTTTGATAGTCCTTTACATGAATCATAGAATGGCCTGGGTTGAAAAGGACCTCAAAGATCACCTAGTTTCAACCCCCCTGCTATGTACAGGGTCGCCAACCAACAGACCAGGCTGCCCAGAGCCACATCCAGCCTGGCCTCCAGGGATGGGGCACGCACAGTCTGTCTGGACAACCTGTTCCAGT